GTCGTGAAAACAGTAACGGTGCGAGTGAAGCTGTCATCTCCTGAACACCAGAAACATAATGCGCTAACACACACAGCTTGCATCATCGGCTGTTGGAATTATTGCATTTTAAATTAGATTGTAATTTAAAATCATTTTAATGAAATTGAACAACTGTCACTACATTTTATCACATTTTCACAGTTTCCCTATTTTTTATCGAAGATTGCAGAAATGTATTGGCAGCTTTATTTGCATGTTCTCTTTCAAATTAAAAGCCTTTTTTTCCAGCCCCCTAACACCTCGTCTCTCTTCCTCTCACCAGGATGAATTTCATCCCTTCATCGAGGCCCTCCTCCCCCATGTCCGTGCCTTCTCGTACACCTGGTTCAACCTGCAGGCCCGTAAGCGCAAGTACTTCAAGAAGCACGAGAAGAGGATGACCAAGGACGAAGAGCGCGCGGTGAAGGACGAGCTGCTGGGGGAGAAGCCAGAGATCAAGCAGAAGTGGGCCTCGCGCCTGCTGGCCAAGCTGCGCAAGGACATCCGGCCCGAGTTCCGCGAGGACTTTGTGCTCACCATCACGGGGAAGAAGCCTCCCTGCTGCGTGCTGTCCAACCCCGACCAGAAGGGTAAGATCCGCCGCATCGACTGCCTCCGCCAGGCCGACAAGGTGTGGCGACTGGACCTGGTGATGGTCATCCTGTTCAAGGGCAGCCCCCTGGAGAGCACGGACGGGGAGCGGCTGGTCAAGTCGCCCCAGTGCTCCAACCACGGCCTGTGTGTCCAGCCGCACCACATTGGAGTGACGGTCAAGGAGCTGGACCTCTACCTGGCCTACTTCGTCCACTCACCAGGTATGTGGTGCAGTTACCTGTATGACACACACACACTCACACTCACACGAACACACACACACACTCACACACACACTTCAGTTTGATGTGTCACACACACCTTGGCATGTGGGTCACAGATTAGACCCTGCCCTTTACTAAGTACCAAGCTGAGCTGACGCCAGGCTTCGTTAAACTCGCTCAGGACGCAGATAACGCCGCCGTTGACACATTTTTAAAGGGACAGTCCGCGCAAGCGTAATCTTTAAAAATATTTTATCAGATCGACGTTTCTATCTGGTTTAAAGAGATTCTGAGAATTTGACAGCCAGGCTTAAAACCTCTGTTTACCCACAGATATGTTTGCAGTGGTACATTTGTTCAAGTATTTGTGTGAGCAAATTTGTCTAAATCCAAATGTGCATGTTTTCCGGCGCCATGTGTAAACAAAAGCATCTGCAAACCTGTTTATCTGAGTGTGCATGCATGTGCATACGTGTGCACGTGCGAGGCAGTTTGTCATGAGGCTTTAATCCGTGTGTAGGTTATTGTGAGATTGTTGTGTATCAGTGGCAGTAGTGATTTGTGTGTGTGTGTGTGTGTGTACGTGCAGTAGTGTGTGGAGAACGCAGTGACAGCTGGCCCAAGCCCAGATAGTTTAGGAGGCAGGAAGAGTCAGCCTGTCTGCAGCCTCAGCCTATAACGCATCTCTGCACACACACACACACACACACACACACACTCTCATACTCACGAGTGGACACACTCAGGAGCCCAAGCTGCCCCTTTATTGTTTGTCTGATTGTGCCGAACACACACACACACACACACACACACACTCTGCCTCCGTTCACGAGACGTTTTATTTTATTCTCTATCTTTTTATTTTTCCGTACTCTCTCATGTTTCCTTCTGCGTCCGTGAGTTGAAATCAAGGTGGTGGAAATATTTCAGTGTGTGTACAAACCCACATTGTTCTGGAGGCTCCACACTGTGAAATATAATCGTTGGTAATATTCCCTCACTTATATTTTACAGTGACAGAAGCTCGATGGGAAAAACAGACACTTATTTAATTTTGTGTCGTATTTAATTTCCGCAAGAATTATTCTACTGTGTCACTAAATAGCTCTAAACGATGTCGTAATTCTAATTTAATTTGATGATTATATATTATCAACTATGTTTCTATTCATTTAGTCGAAAAAGAGAAACACTTGAGAAATTCATTCGATCTGGTTATAGTCATTTGAAGGAATTAAAATTGTATATTAATCATATCGTAATTACCGGGGTATTACTGCAGTGGTCTTAGGAGAGCAGGGCTGTTATTCATTACAAATAATCCACTTTCACCATGGCTTCATCTTCACAAAAACAGCAAATCAGATTTCTGTGGTGCGCACATGTCGGCATTCTGTTTAAAAACGTCTGGAATAATATCGCTCGTATTTGCAGATGCTTGAAATTTGCTGTGTCCTATATGTGGTTTACGGGTGTAATTTAGTGTAATTTATTCCAAACTGAAACCCAGATTCACTGTGGATACTTCAGATGGAGCGCGACCACGGTTTCAGCTGTGTTCATTTGCATTTTCATATATTTTTCTTTTCCCTTTCGGTTGTTGAGTTGATTTATAGTCACTCTCCAGTCGTCAGTTTTTCTGTGATGCAGGTACGTGCAGGTGGAGTCTCACACACACACACTCACACACACACACACACACACACGTTTATTCACAGACCCTTCTCCTGCCCTTTACTATTATCCCGGCTTCTCCTACCACAGACTGGCATACATCTACAGGGCCTAATTCCTCTCCTTGGCAGGGAGGTGCAGCGTTCCTGTGAGACGGAGGACCCCATGCCAGGCTCCTTTCAGCCCAGTGTGTAACTCTGCTTGAGTTTGCGGGGCCTCCGTGAGCGCCCCTTCCTCTTCCACAATATGCCGTGGTGAACCGCGGCTCAGATTAGCTCCCAGCGCAGCCTGGTGCCCCTCGGAGAGAAGCTCTTTTTTTGTTTTTATTCCGTGCCAGAATCCAGCAGCCACTCATCCCCATACGCGCACTGACCCAGCCTTTATCTCTCTGGGGTTGTGCGTCACATTTTCTTTTTGTACGTACATGAGCATCCTCATGTAGATATTGTTGCATTTTTCCAATTAACTGAAAGCCCTTTTTTTTTTTTTTTTAATTGCTCAATTAGAAATTTAGCATTCATCTTTCCTTTGGTTTAAAAAAAACAAAGTCAGATACATTTGGGGCGGGATCCTGCTTTTCCACTTCAACCTCAGTCTGAGCTGCACCTTGCACATGCACCTGGAGGAGAAAACTGAAGATATAGGTATAGTAACGGAAATAGAAAAATCGTCCACCTTCGTTTCAGGGGGCTCAGATTGCCGTGTTTTCCGGGAGGCGGTGCCGGGGTTAACCAGAGTTTACAGAGGACGGACAGACAGTGGCTCCATTCTAACCTTTCGGGTGGCAGCATTACAGTTTTATTCTTAGCTCGGCCATTCCAGGGTGTCTGTGTCTTGCGGAAGCTATCAGTTGCCAGGCCTGATGATTGGACCGCAGCCGTCTCACCCGCCTGTCCCCTCCGCGGCGTTTCAGTTCTCTTGTGCCCATTGATGCCACCGTCACTGGCTGAGAGGAGGGGGGGGGGGGGGGGGGGGCGCTCTGCTTTCAAGCGGTGTGATTGACAGAACAGGAGACACACACACACACACACACACAGACACACACCCCCTCCTCTGTTTCTGCTTCCCTACAGTATGTGTCTCTGCTTTTGTCCAATTATAGACTTCGGCCCTTCGAGGCGGGGCAGCGAGAGCTGGGACAGATCAAAGCAGCTGAACTCAGATCTGCTCCACGGCTGCACAGCAACGTCCCAACACCTCTAGAGCTAGTGATCATTATCTTTGACGACTACCTGCACACACCACCCCACCCCACACACACACACACACACACAGCATGATATAATTGTTGACCTCAGTGTTGGTTCCTTTTTCGTTTCGCCGACTCTCGTGCGTCTGACGATGATGATAATGGTTCCGCTGTGTGCAGGAAGTGAGGCAGAGAAGCAGGATACGATCACGTCTTTGATCACTCGTCTGTCCAAACCCGGACTCGCCCACCGGACGCTCCGGGGCCGTCCTCCACCCAGAGAGACCCCGGCTCAGGTCATGGTTTTTCGAGCGACATGCTCCGTATTTGTCAGGCTGACGAAGCCGCACGGTTCAGGCATTAGTCATGTTTGGAGCCCGCGCCGCCTCATACGGCTTTCATTACTTGTTATGATAAAAAGATGTTTCTGAGAGTGCAGCCTCCATATCTGCTCTCTGTGCTGGAGACAGACGGACCAGAGAGGTGCTGGGCCAGGCCTGGAAGCCAAGTGTGTGTGTGCGGGTGTGTGTGTGTGTGTGTGTGTGTCACCATATCTCTGTGCCGCTCTGCTGTGGCTGCGGACCTCAGATATTCATTTACTCATCAATGTGTCTGTGTGCACAGTCCTGACGTTACAAATGGCCCAGAGAGTCTCTTTTAATAGAGGCGAACAAAGAGAGGGAGCGACAGGGAGACAGACGGCCAGACTGAGAGACTTAACGCCTCCACGTCACGCTAATCCATCAAACACATCTTATCTGCTCTGCCCAATATCCTGTGCTTCAAAAGGAGGTAACCTTATCAGATGCGGTTACATAATGAAGAGGAGACCAAACAGGACGGAGTGGGATTTGTATTTTTCCACACCCGAGATACGTGTGTGACGGTTTGTGGAGGTGATACGACGTGAACATGCACGGTCTATAAATACTTGAATACAGTCAGGTGAGGTTGTCCTGTCGTCTCCAGGAGAAGAGTCATAATAATCAAAACACAAAAAAAAAAAATCTCCCTGAAGTCTCCTCCTCGTGTGTGTGTGTGGAGCAGACAATTCTGGGCGTAGAGCAGAGTTCTGGCACCGGTCCGTGATCCAGGGCCGACAGAGAAATATAGAATGTCGGCGCCGAGGGAGCCGCATTCATCTGGTGTGAAAAACCCTGCTGCTCCGACACTTTTTCTTTTTTTTT